CACCACTGATGTCCTTGCTCTGTCCCTGCTCCCCCACCACTGATGTCATCTCTACCCAGGGACAGGATTCAGTTTGCCGTAATTCTGACCTCCTTTAAGAGCGGGATCAGAGGACTCCCTGATGGCACCTGAGCTCTGATCTCCACCAGGTACATAAGTCCAAGTTGTGTTTATTTATCATATGCAGGTAAGTCAACACAAGGTCAACACAAGGTCAACAGTACAATGTAATGCTCAGGATGAGAAGAACCCATTTGACTCGATACAAAAACAAAGAACAGACAAACAAGAAATGGGATTTACCTGGTTAAATAAAGGTTAATAAAAATACTAAAGCATGCAATAAGGGTACAAAATAAAGTACCAGAAAGTGAAAACCTAATTATAATATTTACAACGTCCTAAAGAGTGATAGTAAACAACAACATGGTAGAATATAACAGTGCAGCAGAATGAATTTGAATGAATAAAACTATGTAGTAGTATATAAAATACCTGACCTGGTCCATCTGGAGCTCAGAGCACCAACGATAGTCCCCTGAGCTCTGTAGGTTTTACTAACTGAGCAGAGGAGAGTCTAGAGGGCTTTGGATGGAAGGGCTGAGGGGCCGCTCACACCATGGTTGTGAAACGGGGATGCTCCACTGGTGTACTGAGTAGCATCTACTCTGTTTTCAGCTAACCCTTCCATTTTACACCATGTGGTCCAACCAGCTGGAAGCAGGGACTCTGACCTTAAAACCGTCCTGGTTGGACTAGATGAAACCATGTTCCCTGACTTGGCGAGCAACAAAGCTGGTGACGAAATGCCTCAGACTTGGCCATGGCTCCGGGCATGAACGATCCCAGACAGACAGGACCAGCCTTGTGCTGGTCCTTCTAAAGAAGCAAGAAAGTGCATCCCTGAGGACAGGGGTGAATGGAGGTTTCACTTTGCTCAACCAGAACCACACATGCCAGGGACAAAAACTATATTCAAAAGCAGCGTTTCACGGGCACGCTGACCCGCAGGCAGCAGCGGCTACAAGACGCTCACGCTGAGGCTTCAGAATCATAAAACACAAACCATGGCTTTATGTTGGCTACACTAAGAAGTGATCATCCGATAAAAGAACGTGTGTCAGAGTGCATCCAGCGGGGCGTTACCTGTCCCTCCTGCTGAGGCTCTGTGGCGTTGATGGATCTGTAGAGCAGCAGGTAACTGGTGGCGCCGAGTGCGGCGTCCCAGCTCACCTTCATGCTGTTCATCGTCTCGTCGTAAACCTTCATGTTCTTCACAGCCGACAGCGGCACTGACAGGACAGAAGCAGGCAGGAAGCACTCAGAGGAAATACACGTGTCGTCGCAATTACGTGAAAGGTGGGGGATCCTGTAATCACATGTCTGTTGGTAAAAGAAATGGAGGAGACACTCACAGGTGGTCTCTTTGCCCGTCAGAGGCTCGCTGCTGACGTCTCCAGCCACAGCGTAAACATTGATGATGTACTCGGTCAGGGGGGTCAGGTTCTGCAGAACTACGGTGGTCTCTGTCCCATCCACCAGAACCTGGAACCATAAAGAACTGATTATCATTTTTAACATTTTATGAACTTTAGAAAATAAAAATGAAACAGAAGACTCCTACATACCAGTGATTGGTTTATTCATGAATCTTAGAAGAACTAGACATTAGAAACCAAGTCAACGTTTTGAACATTTTTCTGTGTTTCAGATGATGTAAACATCAACTTCAGTTTGGTTTCCAGAAATATGAAGGACATTTAAAAACTTAAAATACTTTATTATCAGGCAAATGGATCTAATTAACAAGAAAGTTTTAGAATAAAGTATAATATTTTCTAAAAAACAATTTTAAACAGTTTTTCTCTCTCTGTACTCCGGTGAAGTCAGACGTGTTTCCTGGTGCACCGTAACACCCCCCCCCCCCCCCCCCCCCGCGCTTGCATTCTTTCGTCCTGTGAACCCTTAAAAAGCCTATTTTTTTCTGCCTGCCTCTTAATTTGAAGGATCAGCTGGTCTCTCAACAAAATTGATCAACTTCTCCCAACAGGAGTCAGGGTAAGGAGGACCCTCTGAACTCTTTAAGGAACAAATTGGATTCATGATGACAACTTTTTTTTTGCTGTTTGGCTGGTGAAATCTGGATTGTCTATAAATTCATGTGGATGTGTCGAAGCTCAGCAGCACTCAGACTGAATTATGCGGAGCTGCATCACAGTTTGAGCAGCTGTTATCAGGACTGTGTTCTTCCTGGCAGCACACATGAAGGTAGGAATAATCTGGAGAAGCTGTGAGCTCGACTTTCGGCTTAAGGAATCAATTTGGCTGTTTTGGAGTTTCCATCAGAGAAATGTACCAGCGAGACTTTAAAGGCAGAAACAACAATTACGAGTTCTGCCTGACCCAAACTGTGGCCTTGATGCCAGACTTATCTCAACTCCTCCTGGAATGTTCAGAAACAACAAAGATGCTTTGACTGTTTCCTCACCCCTCCCTTCCCCAAGGACATGTGACAGAACCTCAACTGAGCTGAAGATGAACGTCACCTCTTATCTGGACAATGGCTGAGGGGGGGCTCTGGACTATGCTACGACTTTCCCTTAAAATTCAATGTTTTCACCGCCTATATGTTCATGTATAACATCTGTTTATGTCGCTTTGCTGTGGGAGGTTTGTTTGATGCCTCAAATTGTGCCCTGTCTAGGACACGGAGTGAGAGATCTTTTTTTTATACCGTCTCTCCTCATGTTTTCTTCCCTCTTCTCATCTAAGCAAAATATTATTCTGAATACAGTAAAAATAAGAAGGCCGCGCTTTCATAGTAGCAGCTTCGTACACGCCGCCCATCTTTCGGATGACTGTACGTACATGTTCTCATTGTATCTCTGTGCAATGATAATAAAAGTTTATTCTGATTCTGAAATGAACCATAAAGACAACATTTATAATAACACCCTGACAGGACTGAGGACTGAGCCTTGAGGAACTCCACCTCCACAATGCTGCAGCTGAAGTATATTCATCTACATCAGAAATTCATCAGCAGAGAAACAGGACTACTACAGACCAGTGGATCCAAGGTAGTTCAGCTTCTGACCCACAAATTAACAGGAACTGAGGCTTGTGACCCCAAATATGACTATTTAGATATACAAACTTTGCAAATAACTTTTGTTTAAAAAATGCATGATGACAACACAAAACAATCTGAACAGCTATGATACAGTTTATAGGTACAGTTTATGAGCCCCGCCTCCTCCGTGCAAACAAAATTTTTCCAACAAAAAACACATTTCAGATCATTAAGGTGCAAATTTTTGTTAATTTGTGCAGCTCTGACCTTGCTGCTATGTGGTGCGTTATAATGTGCTTGACAGGAAGTTATGAAGGTGTGGAGGCGGGACTTTCATAAAAAAGGTACCACCCCACGTCCTGAGGGACTCCGACCCTAAAAATCCAACATGGTGGCTCCCAAAAGAACCGCTTTGGTTTTGGGTTTGGACAGTGGAAGTTAACAGCGTTCCATCCTCTTCTGTTGACGTTGATGGTGAAAAACGGTTGTTTCATTAGGAACGTTGAGTTAAAGCCTGCAGATAATCTGCAGAGTCACTGGTTCCCATGGTGACTCCCCGCTTTTTTTACCCAGAATCTGCTGCCAAACTCAGAGGTGACCGCAGCGTTTAAAGGTTTTTATTTAAAAGCTGTTGTGTTTGTGTTGCGTCAGAATAAAGTGCTCGGATCAGAACGAGCTCTGATTCCAGTCAGGCTTCAACGTGAAGCGTCCCTCCAAACTAAAGCAGCGGTGTCCGTCTGCAGGCAGATTATTTACAGTCGACATAAAGACAGAAGGATGACGCTCCGTCAACACACAAACTGCACATCTGATTGCAAATGAAAAACATGTTTTTGGACAAAAGCTGAAGAAACATTTCCAAGTTATGAGTCTTCTTCAAAGAGCAGAATGTTTGATTTTAGAAAAGTCTCTTTTTCTTTTATGATCCACAGAAATATGAAATCAAACTTTGGCTCGTCAGAAAGGACAAACAGGTTTTTAGAAACTGAAACTTACGAAACGTGCACCTCGTGAGGACAGACACGGCTGCTTGAAGTTCGAATATTTCAAAACCAGAAAAGATTGGAGCCAGACGAGCACGGCTCTTCAGCTCAGGATGACTTGGTGTCTGGAAACATCGTCTGATTTCACCCTCAGATGAAAACAACCAAAAGATGACGATCAACGAGCGGCCAGACGGTCCTCATGTCAGATGTCCAACTCCTTCTTGCTCTTCCAGCAGGAAACCTAAACCCAACAGATAAGACAACCTGGACTGGAAGTTCCACCCATCTTCACTCCAGTCTGTCGCTAATAAAGTTCCTCTGGAATCTGGTTCAGGGTCTCCTAACTGGACTCTGGTTCAGGGTCTCCTGACTGGGATCTGGTTCAGGGTCTTCTGACTGGACTCTGATTCAGGGCTTCCCGACTGGACTCTGGTTCAGGGTCTCCTGAATGGACTCTGGTTCAGGGTCTCCTGACTGGACTCTGGTTCAGGGTCTCCTGACTGGAATCTGGTTCAGGGTCTTCTGACTGGACCAGCTTTGAGCAACTGCAAGACAGTCTGGTTCAGATACTGACTGGCTGCAATTTCATCAGCTAAGGAATCATTGTACAGCTTCCATTAAAACTTCATAACATAACTACTATTTATCTCAGACCATCAAAGTTCTGAATGACCCTAAGAGATTTTGAAAAATTATCAAATCTCTTACTGGCAGCTCTCACTCATGTGATCTGCCATCACAAGTACAGTATTTGCTGACTCTGTTCCTGTGTCAAATAAGCATGAGATGCTAAGCTGTTTAAACAGACATTTTGTTGCTTCCAGCTTCTTGATTGACACAGTTACTAAAGGAAAATCATCTACCTCTCCTACAAGCCCACCTGTCCATCCATCCATCCATCCATTATCTTTCACCTACTTCTTCCTTTTTGGGTTGCAGGGGTCACTGGTGCCCATGTCCAGCCATCACTGTGCGAGAGGCAGGGTGCACTCTGGACAGGTCACAAGTCCATCACAGGGCTCTCCAAACTTCTACAAATCAAATTTCTCCTACAAGTCAATCCTCAGTAAAGCACCGAACCGGAAACCCTACGCCCACTGGCTACACCAAGAAATTCTGACCATAAAAGTTATGAACAGAATCTGTGACAACGGGCAGCCCTGGCAGAGTCCAACTCCCACCCTGAAGGGGTCCGACTTACTGCCAGCAATGTGAACCAGACTCTTGCATCGCTTGTATAGGGACTGAACAGCCCGTAACAATGGGCCTCCAATCCCATATTCACGGAGCACCCCCCACAGTGTACCCCAAAGAACATGATCAAATGCCTTCTCCAAGTCCACAAAACACATGTAGACTGGATGGGCAAACTCCCATGAGCCCTCAACAACCCTAGTGAGGGTAAAGAGCTGATCCAGTGTTCCACAGCCAAGACGGAACCGACATTGTTCCTCCTGGATCTGAGGTTCGACCAACAATCGGACTCGCTTCTCAAGTATCCCTGAATAGACCTTACCAGGGAAGTTAAGGAGAGTGATGCCCCTATAATTGGAGCACACCCTCTGGTCCCCTTTTTGAAGAGGGGAACGACCACCCCAGTCTGCCAATCCAGTGGCACTACCCCCTATGTCCATGCGACGTTGCAAAGGCGTGTCAGCCAAGACAGCCCCACAACATCCAGAGCCTTAAGGAGATCAGGGTGAATCTCATCTACTTCAAGAGCCCTGCCACCTTTAAGCTTTTTAACTACCTCGGTGACCTCAGCCACGGTTATGGACGGATCAAACCTAAAGTCCCCTGGCTCAGCTTCCTCCATGGAAGACGTGCTGGTGGGATTGAGACGGTCCGAGAAGTATTCCTTCCACCTCCCGACGACATCACTGGTTGAGGTCAACAGCACCCTACCTTCACTGAACACAGTGTTCGTAAAGTGCTGCTTTCCCCTTCTCAGCCATTTGATGGTTTGCCAAAATCTCCTCAGAGCCAACCGAGAGTCTCTATCCAAGGTCTCACCGAACTCCTCCCACATCCGAGCTTTTGCCTCAGCAACAGCCAGAGCTGCACACCTCTTCACCCTCTGGTACTCCTCAGCTGCTTCTTGAGTCCCACCAGCCAACAAGGCCCGATAGGACTCCTTCTTCAGCTTGACAGCCTTCCTAACCTGGGGTGTCCACCACCAAGTTCATGGATGGCCACCACGATAAGCACCGACAACCTTGTGGCCACAGCTCAATGCTGCTACCTCAACAAGCGAGGCGCGGAACATGGCCCACTCTGACTCAATGTCCCCCACCTCAGCTGGGAAGTGGTTAAAGCTCTCCTGGAGGTGTAAGTTGAAGATCTCTCTGATGGGTTCTTCTGCCAGGCATTTCCAGCAAACCCTCACAACACGTTTGGGTCTACCGGGTCTGTCTGGCATCTTTCTCCGCCATCTGATCCAACTCATTAACTGGTGATCAGTTGACAGCTCAAGTCCTCTCTTCACCCGAGTGTCCAAAACAAATGGCCGCAAATCAGATGACACAACTATAAAGTCCATCATTGATCTACAACCTAGGGTGTCCTGGTGCCAAGTGCACTTATGGACACCCTTATGTTCAAACATGGTGTTCATGATGGATAAACTATGACTAGCACAGAAGTCCAACAACAGAACACCGCTCAGGTTCAGATCAGAGAGGCCGTTTCTCCCACTCACGCTCCTCCAGGTCACACTGTCATTACTCACGTGGACATTGAAGTCCCCCAGCAGAATAAAGGAGTCCCCAACTGGCACACCTTCCAGCCCCCCTGCCAAGGACTCCAAGAAGGCCGGATACTCTGAACTGCAGTTCGGCGCATAGGTACAAACAACAGACAGAGCCTGTCACCCCACCCGAAGGCAAAGGGAAGCCATCCTCTCATTTACCAAGGAAAACTCTAACACACAGGCACCAAGTCGGGGGGGAGGGGGGGGGGGGGGTTAAAAGTAGACCCACACAGCTCGACACCTCTCACCATAGGCAACTCCAGAGTGAAATAAGGACCAGCCCCCTCTGTTCCAGAGCCCATGCTGTGCGTTAAGGTGAGCCCAACTAGATCTTGTTAGTAACTCTCAACCTCATGCACGAGCTCAGGCTCCTTCCCTGCCAGAGAGGTTACATTCCATGTCCCAAGAGCAGCTTTGGTAAGCCAGGGTCAGAGCGCCAAGGTCCCTGCCTTCAGCCACTGCCCCTGCCTTCAGCCAATGCCTTCGGCCACTGCCCATAGCCTCATGCACCCAACATTTATGGCCCTTCTGGCAGGTGTTGGGTCCACAGGAAGGCAAACCCATGCTGCTCCTTCGGGCTGAGCCTACCTACTGTGTAACATGTATAAATACCTACTGTGTAACATGTATAAATACATACTGTATAACTTCTATAAATACGTACTGTATAACATGTATAAATATATACTGTATAACATGTATAAATACCTACTGTATAACATGTATAAATACATACTGTATAACATGTATAAATACCTACTGTGTAACATGTATAAATACCTACTGTATAACATGTATAAATACATATTGTGTAACATGTATATACATGTATAAATACATACTGTATAACATGTATATATACATACTGTATAAAATGTATAAATACCTACTGTGTAATATGTATAAATACCTACTGTATAACATGTAAAAATACCTACTGTGTAACATGTATAAATACCTACTGTGTAACATGTATAAATACATACTGTATAACTTCTATAAATACGTACTGTATAACATGTATAAATATATACTGTATAACATGTATAAATACCTACTGTATAACATGTATAAATACATACTGTATAACATGTATAAATACCTACTGTGTAACATGTATAAATACCTACTGTATAACATGTATAAATACCTACTGTGTAACATGTATGAATACATACTGTATAACATGTATAAATACCTACTGTATAACATGTATATATACCTACTGTATAACATGTATAAATACCTACTGTAAAACATGTATAAATACCTATTGTGTAACATGTATAAATACATACTGTGTAACATGTATAAATACCTACTGTGTAACATGTCTAAATACCTACTGTATAACATGTATAAATACCTATTGTGTAACATGTATAAATTCATACTGTATAACATGTATAAATACCTACTGTATAACACGTATAAATACATACTGTATAACATATATAAATACCTACTGTGTAACGTATCAATACCTACTGTATAACATGTATAAATACATACTGTGTAACATGTATATACATGTATAAATACATACTGTGTAACATGTATATATACATACTGTATAACATGTATAAATACCTACTGTGTAATATGTATAAATACCTACTGTATAACTTGTAAAAATACCTACTGTGTAACATGTATAAATACTACTGTGTAACATGTATAAATACATACTGTGTAACATGTATAAATACCTACTGTGTAACATGTATAAATACATACTGTGTAATATGTATAAATACATACTGTGTACCATGTATAAATACCTACTGTGTAACATGTATAAATACTGTATAACATACAAATAAAGGTTGAATGAACTTAGACAGGGAAGTGAACTTTACCATCATGAGTTAGAGTTTGAAAGTAAAAGTACGTAAAAACAATAAAATGTCCTTTAAATTCAACGTATTCAGACTGTCTGAAACGAGGCTCTGGACGGTACCATGAAGTCCAGTTCAGCTCCCTGCCAGTCTTTCTTCAGTTCAGTGTCCACGGTTGTGAGTGTCTCTGCTGGATTAGAACTCTTCGCACACACTGTGTCACTTTTTGGCACAAACATCAAAGCTCTGAGCTCAGGAATTCACTCTCGTGTTTCTGCCATAGTAAAATCCGACAGATAAAAGCTGCAGTAAATACTGGGTTCAGGTTCTGGTGCTCTGATCCACCCAGTCCGTCTGAACTAAGTGGATCCAGTGGAAACTCTGCAGGATTTCAGATGATTCTAATCAGAGAAGACACCAATAAAACCAGAACGTATGGCCGAGGCCCAGGTCTGAGTTTTTATAAAAACAGGAATGACAGGAGGTTAAGAGCAAACTAAACGCAGGTTCACCAAAGAATCTAGACTGAAGTTCCTGAGGGTCTGTGAGAGCCGAGGCCCTGTATAAAAACCAGACCCGGCTCTGAAGACACAGCTACGAGACGACGTGAAGCTCAGCAGACAGAAGAAAACACCCCAACGCTCAGACACGAGGATTTAGGGTTTAATGTGACAGACCACCTCATCCTCTGGTACCACAAAGTTCTGACTGGTTCCAGGTCAGACAGAGATGATAAATCAAACCATCTGATCTTCAGGCTGGATTCCAGAACCAGCAGATTCTTCTGATCAAATCCAAGTGAAATAAAACCCGATTGGTTATGAGAAACATCTCAGACAACGTTGAATTACCCCGAACCTTAGATCAGAACCATGTGGGCTGTGTGTGTGTTTGTTCCACACATAAAGTCCAGGATGGAGTGATGGAGAAAAGTTTCAGGAGTGATTTGTGACAAAAGGGTGTCAGCAAAGGTCAAAGGGAAAGTTTACAAGACAGTGGTGAGACCAGCTATGTTGTATGGTCTGGAGACAGAGACATGGACAAAAAGACAGGAGACAGAACTGGAAGTGTCAGAAATGAAGATGTTGAGGTTCTCCTTAGGAGAGACAACGATGGAGAAGATCAGGAATGAGATCATCAGAGGTACAGCACAGGTTGAACAACTGAGAGATAAAGTTAGAGAGGACACTCTGAGATGGTTTGGACATGTCCAGAGGAGGGACAGTGGTTTGGACATGTCCAGAGGAGGGACAGTGGTTTGAACCGATTTTAAACTGCATAATGTGTATATCAGCAGTGGGGGTGGGGGGTTAAAACAAGAGGTCAGAGGTCGGGGACAGGATTTTATAACTTTGTCTCACCTCCTCCGTGGGTCCTCCAGCTGCCATCATGTAGGTGACTCGGTAGTTTTCTACGGGACCGTCAGGAGCTGTCCAGGTGGCCCTGAAGGAGTGGTGGGTCACCTCTGATGTCACCAGGTTGGTGGGCGCACCGAGACCAGAATCTGAAACCAAACAGACCAGACCCTGAATGTGACAGGACCCGTTGGGCCTTCGGCTGCTCTTTAATTAAAAATGGTTCAGTTAGAAACAAGAAAGTTTTCCTGCCCTGCAGCTCCTGCAGCTCCTGCAGCTCCTGCAGCTCCTGCAGCTCCTGCTGAACGTTCTGACTCTAATAATTAGTGCTGCAGCTGTGTGACTCTGAGCTTACAGAAACTAGCAGCGACTGACAAACGCTGCCTCGGTCTCCATCAGCTGAACTTCTTAAAGATGCTTTTTATACGAGACATTTATTTTCTAAACATAACGTCCCAGTGACTTTTAAACCCCAAAATACATTAAAGACTGGTTCATCCCAAAGATCCAGTCCCCCGGCACAAACAGAGTAATGTTGTGTATGCTGTTCAGTGTCAGGAGGGTGATCAGTCTTACATCGGGGAAACTAAACAGCCACTGGCCAAAAGGATGGCCCAGCACAGAAGATCAACATCATCAGACCAGGACTCTGAGGTCTACACTCATCTCCAGGTCAGAGGTCACTCTTTCAGGGATGAAGATGTTCACATCCTGGATAGAGAGGAACGATGGTTTGAGAACTTGACAGCATCCCTGACCCGGGGCATCCACTATTAAGCTACTTTTAGCTTTTTGATAGAACTTTGCTACTTTACTCTAACAAAAGTTTAGTCAGGTCCTCTGGACGGTTTCTTTTTGTTGAAACATTTTGTCTTTCATCCAAAAGACTTCTTATTATTATAAATATCACCGTCATATAGTGGGTCAACCAGTCCGATGGTGCTCAGGTGGTTTCCGTAGTCTCTGTGGCCTTGACGCCAGACTTATCTCAACTCCTCCTGGAATGTTTAGAAAACAACAAATATGCTTTGACTGTCTCCTCACCCCTCACTCCCCAAGGACATGTGACTACAACTCGTTTGAGGCAGTCATGGCCAAAGGGGTTATTGCAATGAGTCAATGGCAGAGAGGGCGGACTCCCAAAACCATCTAAGCACCATCAAACTGGTTGACCCACTATGTGACAGTGCTGTTTATAAAACCGTCCCCAGGACCTGACTTAACTTTGTTGGATTTTTCTACCTAGATTATAGAGCATAAATAAGGATATTTGCCACTTTAAGTTAGCATTTTGGATCTTTTGGCTTTTTACTGAGTGAATTTCTACCTTTAACTAGCCTTTGGCTACCTTTAGCATAGAGTTTCAGCCCTCTTACATCTAAAAGAATGAGGTATTTGGGACCCAGCGTCCCTTGAAAGGCAGTTCTCGTTGAAGTACCTGGACCTTTGACACTGTTGCACAGGTTGACAGTGAGGTCATCCACGATGGTCACCAAGAACTGGAATTCTGCCACGTTGTACATGTGAATCTCTTCTGGATCAGAGGCGATGGATCTCAGCTCGTTCTCGTCTGCGTTCTTCACACCTGAAGGAGATGTTCAGTCAGACATCTGCCTGAAAACTGAGTAAAACCATGGAGGAGGTGTCCGCTCACCAATGGCGTAGAGCTCGATGCCGCTGTCTCTCAGGTTCTGAGAGTTGATCTCGATTTCATCCTGAGACTTTCCGTCGGTGATCAGGACACCAATCCTACGGGAGTCATCACGCATCCCGACGTTGCGATTGAAGTTGTTCTTGAGAATGTGACTCAGAGCCATCCCTGTTCAACCAGAAATGTTCAGTTTTAGGAAACATTTGTTGTGTTTTAGATCACATCAGGAGAAACATGTCTGTGGTTTTCCTTCAATGGTCAATTCTCTGTGATTCGGTTTTAACTTGACATGTTAACAGGCTGGTTTTGACTCATTGACCCCACTTGTTTCTGGACTGTGGGAGGAACCCTTGTCTATGAATAAATATTTTACTAAAACTGTATCTGTCCTGGGTGGTGACCCCCTAGGCTGCTCATGATCCACCTTCATCTTGTGACATGTTGCTGGTTCTATAAGTTCCTGTCAAACCCATCCAGACGTATTAATACGCAGGCTTGTAATTGAGACTTTCCTTCCCTCCATTGATTACGGTGACATTATTTACATGAACGCTCTTACAAGAACCCTGCAGATGTTGGATGCTGTCTATCATGGTGCACTAAGATTCATAACTGGCTGTAACTACCGTACCCACCATTGCACCCAGTATTCACTGGTTAACTGGTCACCATTAACTTCACACAGACTCTCTCACTAGTACATTTTCATCTTTAAATCACTTCTTGGTCTGCTGCCTTCATACATCTCCTCCTACATGTCTCTGTGTGAGTGCAGCTACAGCGTGCGCTCTCAGGACATTATTACCTGCAGTGTTCCCTCAGTGAGGACTGAACTAGACAAAAGGACCTTCTCCTACTTCGCTCCTGTTTCCTGGAATGTCTTGTAAAAAGATCTGAAGCTATCGACCTTGACCTCTCTAAGTGGCTTCAAACATCTGTTAAGTTCTTGGAAAAACCAACGCAGACATGTTCCTGTTTTTAGTTTTATAATGTAGCTGTTTTTGTATATTTAGGCCCGAGCAGCGAAGCGCTACGAAGGCCTAATGTAATCACTCTGTTTTTTGCCCGAGCTACAATTTTTTCCGTCTAATGAATTGGCGTTTGGGGGGCCTTAACATATCCCAAAAGTCACCAAATTTGGCGGACTCATCAGGACTGGTGAAAAATTACGTATTTTAAGAGCGTGGCAAAAATCGCAACAGAAATTGCTCAAGAGCGCCACCTAGAAATGTTCAAAATACTCTCCACATTAACCTTAGTTTGTCGTAGAAACATGTAATTTGGTACGCTTGTCCAATTCCCCAAGATGCACAGAAAACCCTCTGGCACCAATGTTGTATGCTAAATAGGAAGGTGGCCATTTTGGAATGCTGGCCCAATTTTCACACCTTTTTGGCGGTTTACAGCCTCCGCATTTGAACAAACTCCTCCTAAGGATTTCGCTCAATTGGTTTCAAACTTGGCCATTTTGGTCAAAAGGCATGGGGGACGCAAAGTTATCTAATCGGTTTGTTTCGAGGCATGCTGAAAGGGCGGGGCCAGACCTGAAAGTTTGACATCTCGCCATGAAAAATGAAACGTTAATAGCTCCTACACTAAAACCGTCTGAGACATCAAACCTTGAGTGATTGATCCACATAATGATGTTGTGATATTTTTGTTAAGCACTTTAGTAACAGTTTCTGTTCTAAATGTGCTCTATAAATAAATCTGACTTGACTTGACTTGCCATAAGGTCCCCTGCAAGACTGAATGGTCAAATCATGACATGACTTAAGCCATGCCCCTTGACAACAGGAAGTGTAAAGTTTTACCTTGAATGGTCCCTATTTGACCCCTGTTACCTGATCAGCATGATAGTGTGTCCAGTGACCGAAGACATGTTGGTGTAACTTGCTTTAAAACACTGACAGTTTGGGGTGGAGCATATGGGCGTCGCGACGGGGCGAAGTAAGACATAATGCCGTCTCCATACGTGATTTGAACCGAGGTTCAACAAAATCAGTATGATCGATCATTATCCACCTCTTGAACAGGAAGCTATGATAAGTGGCCAATAGCCTCCACAGCGCCCCCTAGAATATTTCAAAACCTCAGCCCCAAGCCATTTTTTGACCGATAATTCTGAAACTCTGTGAACATCTGTATCGTCTCACGACCTATGAAAAAGTCTCTTGGAGCCCAGGTCCAAAACCAACAGGAAGTCAGCCATTTGGGGTCAAAGGGTCATTTTTGAGCGTTTCTAATGGCGAGTTTTAACGAACTCCTCCTAGGGATTTTGAGTGATTGCCTTTAAACTTGGTTAATATGCCCTCAAGACATTAGAGAGTAAAAGTTATCAAAAGCTTTCAGTTTCGTTTAGGTTAAAGGGGCGTGGCCAGGCCTCAAAGTTACGCTTCACGCCATAAATTTCCAAACACTATAACTTTCACAATGAAAGACCGAAACGCACCAATCTTGGCATGATTCATCCCTGTTGGATGCCCAACGATCCACTGTCATCATATTTTGACATCATCAAAGTCCCGCCCCCTCAGAACAGGAAGTCTCTTTTTAGGCCCGAGCAGCAAAGCGCTGCGAAGGCCTATTGTAATTGTGCTGTTTCTTATTATTATTATTTTTTTCCGCCCAAGATCGCATTTTTGGAGGCCTTAACATATCCCAAAACTCACCATATTTCACCCAAAATTGTCCCCCGCGAGAAATGCGAGGTATTTAATGGAACCAAAAGTGGGCGTGGCCAAATTGCTCCACAGCGCCCCCTAACGTGAGATATGAAAACTGGTAAGTCCTAGAGAGCTGAAATTTGGTACATAGGTAGAACCCACCGAATCAAGAAAAAAAGTCTCTTGGAGGTATGCCTTAAACCCAACAGGAAGTCGGCCATTTTGGGTCAAAGGGTCAATTTTGGCCGTTTCTCACTTTTCGTACACGGCGAATTTGAACGAACTCCTCCTAGGGATTTCGCTCAATCGGTTTCAAACCTTTGCCATTTTGCTCAGTAGGCATGGGGGACCTAAAGTTATCAAAACGGTGCAAATTCACGCATGTTGAGGGGGCGGGGCCAGGCCTCAAAGTTGAGCTTCACGCCATAAATTTCCAAACGTTATAACTTTCACGTTGAAAAACAGAATCGTACCAAATTTGGCACGAGTCATCCCTGTCCCATGCCTGACGATACACTGAGGTCAAATTTTGACGTCATCAAAGCCCCGCCCCCTCAGAACAG